GGCGGAAGATGGCGTGGGTGCTGAAGATGGATGAAGTGATCGAGTCGGGGCTGGTGCACGACTTCGACGCCAGCCTGTCCGGCATCGGGCAGGAGCTGGGGGCCGGTGCTTACAGCATGAGGTAACTCGGGGCGCGCCGGGGGCCTCTGGGCAGGGAGCGCGGGAAGGAAGAGAGGAAGGAAGAGAGGAAGGAAGGAAGGAAGGAAGGGAGGGAGGGAGGGAGGAAGGAAGGAAGGAAGGGCGGAAGGGAAGGGTTTCCCTCGCTCCTTCGTCCCTCGCTTGCTTTTCCACCGCGGGCCCTGAGGGAGCTTCACCCGCAGCGGGTCCGGGCGGGTTTCCCACCTGCCCTGCCCTGCCCTGCCCTCCCAGCTGCGGGCGGGTGGGCGCCCGAAAGGGCCGGCTGCTCCCAGCCCCGGGGTGCCTTTTCCCTCTAGCTGCATTCTGCACCCTAAACATGGCATTTCCCTGCCCCTCGGCTGTGTAGTGGCACCCGTGATTCGGGAGGCGATGATTTTCTACTTGGTGAATGTAATTTTGGTTCATAATAAGAATCAGTTGTTCTTTCCAGCGTTTATAACATGCTCGAACAAGCAAACGTGGTAGCTAAATACGTTGGTAGTATGGCTGTATTTTAATCAGTCTGTTTGTTCTTTAATAGTGTGTGTCTTTAAGAGACGTTTCCCGCGTGCCTTTTTTTTTTTTTTTTCTTTTCTTGTCATGTAGCTCTTTCTGTTCTTAATTAGGTTGGCAGGTTTTACAGGAAAAGTGTTTACAAAAGCGTTTGGGTGTGCTTTTTCGAAGTTATCTCGGTTATGGGCAGAATGTGTGGATTCTCGAATGACTTACGAGCACGAAGAAGGAAAACTGCTTTGGAGACACTGGGAGACATTTTAGTCTAAGGCTTTTGGCAGGACTAGTCAGTATTTTGAGAGTCTAGAGAAGCACAACATTAGTTTTGATGGCCTACCCTGTATGCAAGACTCATTCTCTTTCAGGCCACCACGACTTTCAGTTACTATATATATTTTTTTAAAGTAGCACCTCCCAGGTGGAGTGTTGGAACCGCAGTGTCTTTGCTTAAAGTTATAAATACATGTTTCAGCTGATTAGCGATGAGGACCCTTTTGCTAGTGTTTGTGATTGTGAGTT